TTAAAAATAAACAAAGAAACCCAAGAAAGTCTCCTCCGAAAGCTGTGAAGTAATGTCAACTCACTTAAAGTTTCAAAGCTGATGTCATATAGCCATAAAATCTACCTTTCCCATCTGCTTGTTCCCCCTGATACTCTGCTTAGCAAAGGGGCTTAGAGAAGGTGGCCTAGATAGGGAGAACCCACATCTGCAAAACTGTCTTTCAGATGTCATCACAGACTCACAAACTGTTCCAGTAATGTTTGGAAGATCCTTTTTTAAAATTATTTTTATTGTATCTATAAAGCACATATTGTTAGTCTAAGAAAGCTCCCTAAATAAGTGGCACAGATTTTGCTCTTTAGAAACTGTTCTCAGGTTCAGATTTTCAAAGGACTTCTCTCTTCAAATAACTTTCTCATTTTATAAAGACACAATATTTTTCTTTTTAAAATCACTAAATGATAAGTGGTCTAGGAGAATAACACTACTAAATATGAAAAAGTTCTATAATTATTGGAACTACCTTTAACAAGATTGTATAATTTAAAAATTGGCTCTTTATTGAAATGAAAACATAGACTAGGATCTCTGTATATTATTGTATGAAATAGAAACAGGACAAATATAAGAAATCCAAATACAGAAAGAGTCACAATTTATTCTGCAGTTAAATTGGGTGGGATGCTGTTACACAGAGGAAAAAAGTTTTGGCTTTACAGATAATTACATAACAAATGGTGTACATGTGATAGAGCTCAATATGCTTGAAACAAATTTCTGTTAAATCCAGATTGCCCATTAATTTCTATTGTAGAGCTAAAAAAATTAGTCCCCAGAGTAAAAATAACCGTAAAACATACATATACAGAGGGAACTATTTTTCTGATATTTGAAACCCATTGAACCATTATTTACTAATGATACTGAGCAGTGATTCACAAAACTTTCAAAACTGTAGAAGTAAAAATACAGTAAGTATAAACGGGCACACTGAGGTATAATTGCTTTTCTTTACATTATTTTAAATTGAATCTTCTCTGTGGTAGTAGTAATCCCTAAAACTTCAGAAAGGTGTGAAGGTTCTAGCCCATCTTGAGTCATGCTAGTGTTTCTAACTTGATGTCCAAATAAATTATTTTCCATTTTCCCCATACTTGCTGGTTTGTTTCCAGACACTTAAATCTGGCCGTGTATTCCAGATGTTTAATAATATTTATAGGTAAAAGGAGAAGATTGTCCAAATAAGGAATGTCATACCTGAGACTTATTTAGCAATGAGAACTTGCTTTGGTGCCAGCAGAGGCTTGTTCTATTGTCTAATAATAATCAACAAATTGACCAGCAATTCCAAACTTAGCTTTCTAATAATAATCAACAAATTGACCGTCAATTCCAAACTACCCAGCCCAGTAGTTTGGGTGACAGCTGGTGATGGATGGCCATCAAAATCCTGTTTTCTGAGGCTGCCACTCTCAGAGTAGTTGACAAAGCTGAGCAGCACTGCAGAGATTGGTGAAGGTCCAGTTCAGATGACCAGAGTATGAAGCTAAAGGAATCCACCCATGAGGCTTTCAGGAGGTTACTAGTGACTTGCTGAAAGCTTGACACTAGGGCAGAAGGTGTTAACTTAATGGTAAAGCACGCACAGGCATGCCATACACAAAGCTCTGTGAATTCGACTCCCAGCACCCCTATACCGGTATTCAAAGTGTTCCTACTTAAAAGGGATTTTTTTTTTCATTAATGGGAAAAGATTACAAAGCTTTTTCAAATAATTTACATTTAGTGTTAGTGATAACAGTAGGAAACAAGACAAGTCAACCATCTCTGCTGTGCAGTTCATGTTTGAGTAGTTTTCCTAGACTTTTTCTGTGTGTATTCACAGATACATGAACCCAAATAAATTGAACAGAAGTGCAGTACTATGATACATCAATTTGTAACTCTTAACATTCAACTGTATGTGGCTTTTGTTGTTGCTAGTAACAGTCATTTTTTTAAATTGGCAAATGTTCATTCATGCTTGGTTCTCTACTGTCCAGGTGGTATTTGGACATTTGTGTTGTGATATAAACAAGTATTTACCTGTGTTTGAAATACAAGTGCATCTTATCAACTGAATGAGCCCATGCTTAATGTACAGACCTGTGTAAGTATCTGTAAAAGAAAACAGGAAGCTTTTTCTAGATAATGTGGAAATTCTTTGTTGTGTAGTTCTTAAATTTATGTGCAGTGAGACATTTAAAAGAGTTCCTTGTAATTGAGTATTTCACTGTAACAATTAAGGATTAATTGTTCAGGTAAAAGAGAGTGGCTCTAGAGGACAGGTCAGTCAAAAAGATGTTTTTCTAAAGTAATTGTGTGTAAATTATAACTATGAAATACTAAGTCCAGTTTAATGAAGATTTTTCTTGAGTTGCCTTGTGCAAAAAAAGAATGCATTTTGCGTTAGAATTTCAAAACTTTATATTAGCCCAATCATTCAGCATTTTCAGCTTTTAGGGGAAAAATTCTTGCATGATTGCGATATAGCTCTTATTTATTCCTGCCTGCTTGCCCAGAAACCCTTCTGTGGGTTCCTCTTAGTTTGGGTCAGGTTGTACAGAGACTTTTGGGGACCATTATTTTAGCAGATATTAGGTTCATTGCCAGAGTGTGCATCTTGCCTACTTTTGTAGAATTACCAAAGTGTAAATAGGGGGATCATGATTTCTGGGGCACACAGGAGCTGGCTCAGTAGTTTCAGCACAGTGGGGAATATCTGAAGGCCAGGTAGATGTGTGTTGTGGCCTCTTTTTCCTTTTGCACCCTAGGTACAGAACATTAGATTGTTAGGAAAAGATGACAGGGGCAGAATGAGACCTGTCCAATATAAATTTTGTCTGGGAAGAGTTTTTTGAAAGTCCCATACCTAAGTATTTCTTTTTCTTTACATTGTGACTTCTTGTTTCAAGACTAGAAAAATAGCCGAGTCTTGGTTGCACAGGCATAACTGGGATGATCCTAGGGCATGTGGACCTCCAATAAAGTCATGTCAAATTTCAAGAGTACTGACTTACACTCTACTGGGCAGGTTGGAATGACAAACATCAAGAGAAGCTAAAGTACTTAAGCCTCATAATTTTATTATAGGGGAATAAAGCCGAAAAGTCACCCTTACAAAGAGGGAGACATTGCCCCTGGAGGACAATCCTTGTGAACGCTGTGGTCTGAAGTCGATCAGTCAGCCCTTACTATGCAGCCCATAAAGGTAAATAGCTTTTGGGAAGTCCGCTAGGTATCTAAGCTGTGGTATCTAAGCTCTGGTGGATACATTGTGACGTCTGAAGACAGCCCAGGGTAGCCAGGGTTCTATACCTTTACAAGGTGGCCAGCACTAGCCTTTCAGAGTAGGACTGTGGAACCTACCTGCTGAGCTAGTAGTCTCTGTCTCTATCCCTTGAGCTATCCACCCAAACTCATACTTTTTGCTCCTCCGTCCCTACGCTCATATATCCCTCTACCAGGAATATAAAAACCTGATTGAAGGAAAGAAAATGCTAGACTTTCAGAAGACACAGTGCTGGTTTCTAACCCAAGTCCCCCAGAGAACGCACATACAGTCTTCTCACACAGCATAGTAGGCTGACCTTCCAGATCCACCGTCTTTCTTGGTGGGCAGCTTCCCAGGAGTTTTCAACCTCAGTCACACAGTGCACCAGACAGATGCACAGGGACCCTCTAGGGACCTTCGTAAGCTGTGGACTCACCTCATGATGAGCAATCAGCGATACTGAGTTATCTGAAGAGGGAGGATAACCAGGCCTCTGCGTGTCACTGCGACAGCTGAAGCACTTTCCATCAGCTTGTTCAGTCTTTCCCATCCTAAGCATGTTACATCCACCTACTGAATAGCCTTTTGAGGCTTTTCAAAAAATGAAGAAGAGTTTCTGTTTGGTGTTAAGAACAGAGCAGAAAGAGCACCAACTGGCCTGTCCTTGGCCCATCAGTTACCCTAACCCAGGGATCAGAGGAGCCTTTCCTAGCCTGAGTATCTTTTCTCATCTTTGCAGGAGTGCGCACAAGAGCTGGGGAGCTGATGGATGATTTCTGCCCAGTTCCATGTGCAGGGAGTCCACACTGTGGCTTGAATTCCCACAGTGAAAAAGCTGCCCCATGTTGCCCCACATGCTTTTTGTGAGCTGAGACCCAAGGCTTGCTGTGGACCACCAGTCGGCGGAAGATCCCTCTTCCCTGTCCATTCTTAGTATGAGAATGTTGACATTGTTCCTAAAAGAAAAAAAAAAAAAAAAAAAAAAAACACAAAAAAAAACTAGTAGGATTCTGTACGGAAATTCTGAAAACACAGGCTACTTGCATTCTGGCCCTCCTTTTCCAGATTTAGACCATCAGAACACAACTTGGGGAAATCCACACAGTGCAGTCCCAGACGGTTTCTGTGCTGACTGCTTTCCTCCATTCAGGGTGGCAAGTGTAAAACACAAATGCCCTCATCCTCCATGCCAGATGGGGGCAGAGAATGTTTCTCTGGGAAGATCACTGCAATCGATTACTAGGAAGAAGGAGATTGGGAAGGGGTGAGTGAGTCAGTTGCTGGGCTTCCAAGATCTGGGCTACCTTTTGTTCTTCCTGTGTGTTCTGTTGGGTCTCCTCCCCCATCCTGCATCCTGTCCTCGAGCCCTTGCGGCACCCCCACCATGACCTTCACAGGTCCTGAAGGCCACTACCCTCAGGTCAGCCAAGGACAGGAAAACCAGCCTTATCCCTGCTTACATGCCCCTTAGTACTTGCCGTGCACTGTTTTGCTTGACCATAACTGCTAATTTGTTAATTAATTTCATGATTGTCTCCTGCATCCTAGTGCAGACTCTGTTAGGAATCAGGACACTCCCATTGTCCTCTCTACAATATTCCCAATACTCAACACACGTCCTTGTACCTAATATGTGCTCCAAACTAGTCATTAAGTGAATGAGTGACTTTTTAGCATCAAGGATGAATTGACCAATTGACCGAGGTTCAAAGATAAAAGTATTTATTCCCAGAGTGACACACTCACACACAGAGCAGAGTACCAATAAGAAAGATTACCAGTGAACTGTGGGTAGTTGGTTGGTTGCTTTCTTTCTTTCTGTACTGGGAATTGAACTCAGGACCTTGCACTTGCCGAGCAGGCCCTGTGCCACTGAGCTGTATCCCAGCCGAGACCATGACTTACTTCAAAACGAGCGTGGTGTCTGAATGTGATGGAGGGTAAGATCTAAGAAAGGACAGTTGCTTCCTTCCCTTAGAAAGTCTGTTCAATGTCTTACACAAAAGAAGCATGAAACGAATTAATCAAACAGCTTTTTAGTGCCTATTTTGAGCTAGCAGTCTGTGAAATGAAGAGAAAGGGGGAAGCTGTTAGATGTTTCCTAGATAAATGCCTAGAAGTGTTACTAGTCCGCAGGCTGGCAGCCTTCTGGGAGCTGTGCCTTAGGCCAGACCGCTGAACCCGGTTCCTCCTGGAGTTTTTACTTCCTGATAATGGCAGCCGCTCTTAGATAATCCACATGCTCTGTGCTTCACTGTAGCAAAATCAGCAGTCAGTGTCTTTGGCAGGCTAGTCTCTATCTTGTTTTGTTCAAGAGTTGGTGTCCTTGTTAGCATCTCTGCAGTTTTTCACTCTTGAGTGCATAAATCATCAGTTTCTGTGCTTTCTTTTGAAGTTCACTGCTGCCTTTTTAAAACCCCAGTAGTATATAATACACAAGATGGAAGGATGTGACATGTCCCTTGGTCATTAGTCATTAGGTCATTACCCATGGTCACTGAAGGAATATTTGGGCAAACCATGATGCCAATGCAGCATGTAAACTTCTTTAACAGTTTCATCTAAATATCAGAAGAGTAAAAATTACAGAAATGAACGGTTGGAACTTGACTGGTCTGATTCATAGACATAGCATCTAGGAATTATAGAAGCTAAATTTAATAGATTAGCAGATTTGTTTCATATCGGCCTATGACTGTTAATTTTTTAGAACTAGAAGAAACAACTTTAAAGTAAAGCAAATATACAGGAAATTAAGGAAAAACAAATATACAGGAAATGCCAGGTAAAAGTTGCATTTGATTGGCTGACTTTTGTCCCTTTTTTACATAAATTTGTTAAGTTAAATTAAATGTTTCCTCATTATAAACACCCCCCATTTATAGTCTGTAGAAAATACTTTTGAGATGTATATACTTTAGTCCATACTGCAAATTACTAATATAATATAATTGAATGTCTGTAATTTCTTGAAAATTTCCTCTATGATTGGTTCATATAGAATCAAGTGAAATTAGTGACGTTATATATTCAAGGAGAAGTAGGTTGCCTTCCTAAGTGAATAGGAGTTATGGTCCTGTGTGGTACATCAGGTCTACCATTAGCCTGTCATGTCTCTTACTTCTGAAGGGTCTTCTAAAAAAAACTGGGCAGTGGAGAAGACCCTTCATTGGACTACTGTGATCCTAGAAAGGACAGCAATGCGGAGTTGTAAGAAGATCACAACTTAATAATTGCTTAATTTAGAACTCACTTAGAAATCTCCCTGTGCCAACCTCTGTGTGAGTGCTCACAGCTCATTAACAGGAAACCATCTATTTGGCCCTTATTGCTGTTTCTGAGACACGGAGACATTCAGACACTTGCCCAAGGTCACAGAGCTAGGAAGTAGAAGACGGAGAGCTTAAAGCCAGTGGTTCTGACTGTGAGAAGGCAGACTTTTCATTCGTGCATCTCCGTGGCCCTCACACCATTTGGCTTCTTGAATGAGTTTTGACACTCATTTATACAGTGGGCAAGTTCCTTGTTCTTTGGCAGTGACTTCTGAGATCTCTTTCCCATCCCTTGTAGTTCTGAATTATTATTAATCATGATAGTCAAGATTATGATTTTTGACACCATGATTAGAACTTTTATACTATGGATAGAAATTTGCATGACATTTTAAACTATATTGAAGAGATACGAATCAGCCCTTATGATAAACAAGTGGAAAATTGCTAATCAGAATAAATAACGTGAGACTTGGATTTTAGAGCACTCATAATAATTCCATGGTATTGATGTGTTTCTTCTTCAGTGCTAATATGTTAAAAGTAAATAAGCCAGTAGTACCATCCTGATTTAACCACTCTTTGTTTCTCTAAATTGGGGGGGAGAGAATGTGCTTTAAAAATTACTTACAATTTAGAAGGTGATACGTTAATCCTCAGAATGACAAGAAATCAAGATGATTTTGTCTGTTGGGTTTAATTTATTAAAATTTAATTTGCTTCTGCGCTTTGCTCCAGTAGCTCTGTGCTAGCAAACTAGCTATAATTAGATTAGCAGCTTCCCAAGTGCTGCTGACAGGCTGAGCCTCAGAGAGCATGTGCTGGATTCTGCATGTGCCTTCTCCTCATTGGTGGTTGGTGCTGCTGTTCCGCCTGCTGGATAGGTTTCCACAGTAATCTTTATGCTGCATTAGAGACATAGATACAGAGGTACTGTACTGTGTTCCTGTAACAGTGAGGTGCTTCGCTGGTAACAGTAAAGAAGGAATAAGACACAGAAGAGCAGGCGTTTGTCTTTGTTGTAGAGCATCGGTGGTTAAGGACCTCCGGCTGCAGCAGGAGGTCAGTGAAGGAGTCTCGGTTCATGGTAATTACTCTAAGTCTTTATCTCTTATGAAAAGCACGGTTATGCATGAGACCAAGCTATTCATAGTGTCAGCTCTTTAATTTGATCTCTCTTTGTTGATATCCCTGTACTCCAGCATTCTATGCTGAAATGCATTCTCCCAGAGGCAGCTTGCCTGGTAAACAGCTAATCTGTTCAAGAGAGAATGTTGTTTTTACCTAGATTCAGGGGTGCATGTGCTTTGAAAGTGATTCTTATTGGTTGCCTTCTGTTTTGCAAAGCTTGATGTTTCACCGATGTGGGTGCCTTTTAGGTATGTTTTAGCACCCACTTGACTTTGATTGCATCCAGTCCAGCTTCCTGAATGATGAGTAGAGGGAGAATTTAGTGAAGCACATTTTAATTAAGGCCGGGCAGCAGTGCTCTTGCTTTGATGTCTGATCTTAGCAGAAGTAATGTGCTATTGTTTCTTCAAAGATGTGTGCAGCCTTCATTTTGTACGGTTCTCTTTGTCTTACCTTTTGTAGTTTCCATGAAGCCTTTTTAACACAGAAACGGTAAATGTATTACATTCTTCCAAATATCTACATAGGTATGTACTCAGTTGTGCCTAAATGCAAATTTTGATTCCTGGCTTTGTTTAACAGCGAAATTGCTTTGGGAGTTGTCATCGAAGGAAGGTAGTGCTCTTTCCACTTCTGTTAATGTCTGGCAACATTTTTTTTGTATGTGTTTCTGTTAATGGTTTCCTGGATAATTTTCCAAATCAAATAATAAAGAATCTTAAAACATTAGCAAATTCTGAAGGGAAGTATTTAAGGCAGTAAATCTTAGGCTCAGAAAACCCAGACAAATGCAACATCAATTTTTGCTTTTTCATTGTACCTTTTTTTATAGAGTCCTATTTTATGCCTAGAGAGCCCTTGCTTCCATTTAGGCCCCAAACTTACACATTGAATATCCTTCCCCTATCAGACCATGAGGCTAGAAACTTGTGTCCTGAGTCACCAGGCACAGGGCTGGCTGGCTGCCACCATGCGTCTAACTGTGAGGAGGAGAGTCCTGTTGGTCTCAGGAAGCCATCAGGAATTACTTTCCTACTCTTAAGAAGCCCAACGTTGCAGTTTGTGTTTTGTGAAAATAACTGCTCAGATCTAAACTGTGTCTTGCCTACAAGGTCTCAGTTTATCCTGTGGCAGAGAAAAATTCAGATTACCAACAGTGCTTAGCCACCTCCCCACATTCCCTCCCTCATCCACTGGGAATAGAGGGAGGACAATAAATCATCTAATATTAGAATTTAAGAGGAATACTAAGGAATGCTGTGAAATTTGCCATGAATTGTGGTATCATAGAAAGTTGGTAACCGTTAGTGGTAGCCATGGCTTGAAACACTTGATGGTGTTTTGGCACTGAACATGTTGGGAGGTAAATGGACGTGACCACAGTTGTCCTACTTCACATTCCATGCTGATAAAATCCACAGCTGCCTGCTCTTGCAGGCAGTGCCCTGAGTGCCCAGCTGGGCTGAGAGCATAGTTGCAGCTGGGCTGGTTTTACTTTGCTTTAAAACCTCCACAGGCCTCTCAGTGTCACCTCATCATGCTTTGCCTGTTCTATGGATATGATAAGTTGAGTGCCTGCACAATACCCTCCTTTCCTCTCTCTCTTTCTAAATCTCCTCAAGCACTATCTGTATTGCCTTGGTTTTAGAGAATACTAAAGTGGTGGACTGCCTTACAAGTCACTTGTTGTTGTTCTTTCCTTTATCCACCACCACAGCACTGGACAAACATTACCAACATTACACAGCCCACTCCTGTGAGCAGAGTGCTCACTGCTGAGTGTTGGAGAAAGAGGTGGGAAGTGAGGGCTGGGGTGTGGCTGCTGGTAGAGAGATGGCCAGTGTACGTGAGGTTCTAGCCTAGGAACCCAGCAGATAAATAAACATAGCAAAGAAAGAGTTGGAAAGTAGAGCTCAGTGATGTTCATTCTCAGGGGATGGGTCTTAAAGAATGTGTGTCTGAGGGAACTTACATATTCCTTATATTTAGGAATTTAAATATAAACGTATGTATGTATTGCGTAGTGTATTGACAGTCCTAGACCCAGTACTGTATCACATCCCAAAGGGCCTTTTAACATATCCGAAGGGACATTTTCATAACAGCAGTAAATTGTGTTGCTTATGGCCTTGCAAAGTAACCAAAATATGTACTTTTATCTTTATATACATTGCATCTTCATTTTTTTGTTTTGTTCTTACTAACTGAAGGGGATTACCCACATTTTCCTGGGACAACAAAATTAACAAATTTCTTGAATCCATTAAACTCCCTTTTTCTAGTGTCCTAGCTCATTACTGAAGAGGAAATGGCATTCCTGGACAGTTAGACATAGATTTATCAGCATGAGCATAAACATACGATAACTTCCTCATTAAAACATTTTCTGTTACGTGATATTTTCTTTTTCTCCTAATGGTTTATCATCACACCGCGGGAAGTGGTAATCAGTTCAAAAATGGAAAGTCATTTCAGGGAGGATCTGATGTATTGCAAAGCAGCAGATCTGACGAAGGTCTGAAAAATAATTATAAAAAAGCAGAGCAGTGGGCTGTATAGGCTACCCTACTGGTGATTCCAGTAGGTGTCATTGTGGCTGACCAATTGGGGATTTGCGCTCTCAGAACAGCTGAGAGTTCTGTCATCAGCCACTGATGATTAGTTCAGGGTTGACCCTCCTGCAGTTGCCTGGTTTGGAAAGACTTTGAAAGAAAACATAAGCTCCTCATTCAAGTGTGCTTATTTTTTTCTTTCATTATTTTATTTTGTAATCATGGGTACTTATGATGAGTGACACTCTGTATTATGGTTTACTGAGAGAAAAATAGAAGGCATAGTCCCTTCCTGAAAGAAGCACCTGCTGTAGAGACAACTTCATTAAAATAAGGTTGCATGGAAGACATTGGCACTTGGCTTGGTGATATCAAAGCACGGTAAGAAGTTCATTAGAAAGGGGATGTGGGAGTGCCAGGCTTCCGGAAGAGAGTTGGGACCCAGCCCAGAGCTTACTACTTTCTGCCATCTTAGATACCACATCCACTACTGTTAACACTAACTAGGAGCTGATGTGGCCTCACATCTGTTCCGTGCTTTTCAGTTTCCCATGACTTCTTACTTCTGATGTATAATAAATGTAAAGTATCACTTAATCATCCTCCTCCTATTGGCAGACTATGCACTAGACAGTTGATGAAGTATTTTTATTTTTAAAAGACTGACATCACAAGATTTGAAATTTCTTACAAAAGTAACCAGTAACTTAGAGGAATCATGTTATAGAGGAGCCACAGAATAAAGTCACTATTGTTGTACTCTAAATTATTTAGTGATCATGTCTTAGAACTGTTTGCATTGCTAGGAGTTATCCTATTGTATTCTTGGATGCCTGTAGACTGTCAAAAGTTGTTTATTTTTTGCGTGCCCTTTAAAAACAAGCTTGCAAAATCTGGACTTAGATTATAACAGTTGGATTTCACCTTACAATGATTAAGCCATCTGTTTTCTGTAAACATTTAGGAAAATAATTTCTAGAATATTTATAATATATTGAATTTGGCTATCTTTGAGAGATTGCCAAATTTGAGTGCAAGTTCACTTTAGGGATCACCTATTTTCACTAGGTCTTTCCACCAGTAAAGTGTTTATAGGAAATAAGTACAGCAAATCCACTTCTCTGGAGCCTGGATCAGGGAGCCTTCCTAATTCATTGTGCTTTACCTTAACCAGCTAGCATTCAAACTTACTTTTTCAAAATCAGTAGGAGGAGCACGTGACTCCCCCCCCCCCCCGCTGTCCCCACCCCACCCCATCCCATTTGCTGAGCTGGCTGTGTTCCCTTTTAGCTCCCCGACTTGACTCTGCTAATCCCAGGAAGCCATTCTCTTCAGTGCTCCTCCTCCCCTGTTTCTTCCTGGCCTCCACCTTTGCTGCCTAGCTCCTAAGAGTTAGGCTATGAGGGTCTCACCTTTAACAGGTGCCTCTCCATTCCCATTGGTTGATTATCCACTGCTACACCTGGATCGACTTCTTTTCTTCCTCCCCTCATGGAGCTCCTGTGCTCTCCAGCTTGGACAGGCTGCCTCAATCCTGGCTGCTCCCTCTGCCTAGCATGTGCTTCACCCAGAGCCCACGACTTGTTCATCTTTTTTCCAGTGTCTCCTCTCTGAAGTGTAAATTTTATAAAGCCACATATTTTTATCTTAACTGCCATCAGTCTGGAACAGTACTTAGTCCATAGAAAATGCTTAGTCAGTGCTTATCCAATGAATGAGTGAGTGATTTCTGGCTTAGGAATGCTGTAGTACCTCCTTGGAGTCAAGATCTCCCCACCTTGAGTGAGCCTCAGTTTCCTGCTGTGTAGATATAAAGGGTGCTAAGGCCCTGTGAAATACTAGCATTGTAAACAGTCCAAGAAAAGAGGTAACAGTGTGTGAAAGACTGTTTATGTAACTGCTCACTACTCATATTTTTCCTCTAAAAACAGATCAAAATAAACCAACAGTTAACATGAGCAAGTTGGTTGCATTCTAAATAAAAACTAACACACTGGGCTTATTAACATATCTATTTTTAAAAATATATTGGCTGATTTTTAAAGGAATTGTCACTTTCTGTATAGTATTTTTGCCAATTAAAAAAGCAAAGGTAATCAATTATTCTTTTGTTTTTCCTGATACAGAGAACACTTTAAGAAAGGAAGTCTTCCTGAGACCTCTGCCTCCCATCCATAAAATATTCATTCATTGTTCCAGGTAAGTATATTGTTTTGTTTTGATCTATTCTTTGAAGTAAATCAATTATCTCTAAAAATCTGCGTCATGAATGAAAAGTGCAATATAAAGTTTGTGGCTGGGGAACGAGAAACTGAGTTTCTTTGCCAGGTGACCATAGAATGGCAGATTGGAGAGGACAGAACCTGAATCATAGTCCAAGGACTGAGGCTGATAGAGCCCATCAGATCAGTGGACCTGCAAATGTGTGGCATGTTTTTGCCCATGCATGGCCAGCTGAAATTCATATCTGATTTCCATAAGATAATACAGGAGCCCAGAAACAGCCTTTCCAAGTCTTTTTTACAGCCCCATTTATCCGTAGAGGTGCTAAGGAAATGAATGAGCAGTGGTCGAGGAAAGATGATTTCCTCATTCAGTGGAGGGACTAAGAATTTAATGCCATTGGATGAGGTCGAAACAGTTTAGAAAAATGGGAGCCAGCTTTCTAGCTAACTCATGTCTGCTACAAGTCAAGAAATGGTAAGGAGCAGCCATCATAAGGACAGTCTCAACTATGGTGGCCACAGTCCAGATTACCACAGGCTCTGATGGACAGACAGCCTCTCCCAGCTTCCTTCCCAGCATCCATGAATAATGTTCCATTGCTTGTATAGCATGCCAGGCATTCTACAAATTATTATTACTGCCTTATGCAAGATACTGAAGTTGGATCTCATCATTCTCCAGGAACCCCAGAATCTAAACTAGGCTGCCAAGTAAAAATCAGTCTAGATCAGGTGGAAATCTAAAATCTGCCGAAAGAGAAGAATCAAAGAAATATCCATTAGTGCTCTACCCTGAAATTCATCCCTCTTATCACCATCTCACTTACCTTGTTATCCCAGATTTAAGTTTTGGTAAGAAAGGACAGGGCTCCTGTTGGCTCAAATATAACAGCAAGTGCTCAATGTCTCTGACCTCCAGCCCTGGTAGAGCTGAGGTTTTAAAGTTGCCCTGGAGCACAGGAAGATGTAATGGGTAATGCCTTCCTAAAGCACCTGTGTTCTCTACGAAGCCTGCCCACCAAGTGCGCTCATCACTGAACCTTTTCCTGGGGACACAGGTCTTTTATTGTTCAGTCTGGAAAAACTGAGCCCAGCAGCACATTATTACTTCTCCCCTCCTTCACGGCCTCACGGATGTCTGCAAATAAGGTTGCAGCCCTAGGAGATGGGAAAATACTGGGAAGCGGAGTAGGTGTGAGTGTAACCTCGGCTCTCTGCTCACAAACCACGCACATGGGCTGGGTCTACTTGTTTTAGTTCTGTGAGGCTCAGTTTCCCATATGGTGAATGAGAATTTAAAAAGGTACATCAGTGTGAGGTGTTTGGTCTGGCATTGGCCCTGGAGGCATGGGGTTCTTCCCCTTTCCCTGTGCAAGGTAGCTGGTTACCTTTACTGGCATAACTCTTGAGTTTTGTAAACATTGTTGTGGACAAAATTATTAAGCAGGATCCTGTGTAAGGAAGGTTAAAAAGGATTCAGCTGCATGACTCATGAGCATAAGGTTATCTAAGACACAGGTGTTAAATCTGAGCACCTCTAATTCTTACGTGATGTCAGGGCAACATGTACAGATGATTGGAGTTGTTTTGGTATAGGTTTTCTCATGAATGATAGGGGAACAGGTTTTTTTTGAAGTGCTGTAAAGAATGCTGCGAAAGGCGTCCACTTCCGAATGTTCTTACATTTGTTCTTTTCTGTGCTCTGGATACATTCATATTAATATCATTAACATTTTCCAGTATTCCCAATAGTGTGTTTAAAGTCATGTTGTTGTTAGAGTAAGCTGGTTCTTTAAGTGGTTCGTTGTTTAAGGAAATTATAAAGGAAAATGAAGGCATGAAATAAAATGATCTTACCTTCTTTGGATCAAACTTTTGAATTAGTCATCCTAATGCATGGAACCTGCTAAGCCTATGTATGCAAGTTATTTTTTAAGGAATAAACACCAAGTTGTATGCTTTATTTATATAGTTTCAATTTTAGGAAATAAGCTACATATTTCTCATGGTTTTTAGTCTCTTACTATCTTTCGCAAACTTAATGAAAAGATAAGATTATTTTCTCCTTTAAACACTTTTTTCAAAACTTTTCTAGGACAGTTTTTACTCTTTTATATTGTGAGTTGCTAGATGCTTGAAAAATCGCTGTGAACGAAAACAATCCTTGCACATTTTTTTGGTGTTAAGCAGTCCTAACCATAAATATGTGCGAGTTTTCCCCAAACACTTTTCCAGCTTGACGTTTCCTCCGAAATGAGTGGTTTGTCTATGACTCAGCTTCCTTTCACGCCAGCACCTCTGGCTTTTGCTTCATCCCAGATCACTCTTGCCAGGAGGATGACTCAGAGCTAAGGTCCTCCTCTGTGGTCAGGTGGGTTCCTCCTCCACATCATCTCAGCTGACCTTGAGCAGGGTCTTCTCAGGAACCAGGGAAACTCATGAGCTTGTGCAGCCTGACCAGCCAGGTCTGCTTACTATACTTTTAGCAATCATGTAGGCTTCTGTAACAATCCATAGAGGAATAGGACTCTTATCTGAAACAGAATGGTCCTATACTTAGAAAGGAAATAGATTTCCAATTTTGAGGAATCAACACGCATTAAGAAGCTAAAAGTTTGAAGATTTGTTATGAAGCTCAAAGTTATTAATTGCAATTTAAGTTGCTAGATTACCAATTAAGTCATTTGGCATATTTAAAAGTTTTGTTTTTAACAAGTGAAACACAAAGTGTGTTAATGCATACGTGTGGTTGTGGTTGATGATTCATTGCTGTTACAAGATGGAGAAGATCAGTGTCCTAGTCATTGGTTTTCTTACAAGATCAACAGGAAAGAGGTGCATTCTACATTGAGCCCATGTCCCTGGAAGGAAAGATCTGTGAGCACGGTGCTGGCAGCAGCACATGGATCCTCTGCAGTCATACTTGGCCTGAAGAGAAGGCATTAGAATCTGTATTATGTAGATGAAGGATATGGGACTGTCTTAGTCAGTTTTCTTTCACTATAACATGATCACCTGAGGTAATTAACTTACAAGAGAAAAGGTTAATTTTGGCTTAGTAGTAGAGGGTCTAGTTCATGATGGGATAGACTCAAAGCTTGAAGGCCTCTGATGAGCTGCCACATATCTATGAAGTACACCGTGTGGCAGAACGAACTGTTCAGCTCATGCTTAGGAAGCAAAAAGAGGTGGAAGATGGAGCTAGATTCCCACAGTCCCCTCAAGGGTCCTCCCTCTGACTGACAGACGTCCCTCGAGGCCCTGCCTCCTGAAGGTTCTGTCACTTCCCCATAGCACCAGCCTCGGGGCCAAGCCTTTGACACAGACAGGTTTTTAGAGAACAGTACAACTGTAGTAGGGACCAAACAGATTAAACCTCAAACCAAAAGGCAACCACGTGATTAAACATGAGTAAACCGCAGTCAGACCTTACACACTGATTTCCCTACAAACAGGTCAGAAGTACAATGGGAAAGTTGTCTCTGGAAGTTACACAGTAGAAAAGATAGAATGAAAAGGTTACGAGGAGACATGCATGCCTGTTAGGATATTCAAAACTATAAAAGTAATGAGAGAAAGGAAGAAACTAAAAAGTCAAGAAATGAGGGAAAGAGACTAGCACAAGGAAGTACAAGGAAGACAGATACTGTGTTTGTAGTTCGCCAAGAAAAAACCTAGAATTTGAAGACCTCATTTTCTTTTCAACCTAAAAGATATCTGTTAGTAAGATTTGAGGTTGCAGAAGTCTTCATGAATTCTCAGAAATTCAGAGAGACCTGATGCTCCTAGCACTGTATGGTTAGTGACCACTAGGGTGTCCTTCTCAGGCTGGTCTCTCTTTTATAACATACAGCAAAAGTATGGTAAGCAATCAGTTCTGTTACCTTTCCTTCACAAATCTGTGACCCTGGTTATCATGTGTCACCGTGAATGGCTTGAAAGCCCTCCAGGGGAGCAGGAAAGCACATTATGATGTGTCTGGGTCAGTCATGAGGAGTGGACTTTGGGCCTTGTATGTGGTCCTAGACCCTTGCTCTCTAATGCTGCTTCTCCACTGTTTCTCCAAGCATCAGGAATTAAACATCTTTACTCTGCTTTATACTCCTTTCTACCATGATATTTCTGCCCTAAAGCCATAGGCTATAGACCTAATCTCCTGAAACCAGTAGCTACACTAAACCTCTCCTTTAAATTGTGAGTGTTGGGTATTTCATCCCAGTGATAGGGAAGCTAAATAATACACTATGCTTAAAGATGCAACAGAAAACCTGAAAATATTCCTAGTCTGTGTTTTTTTCTGTTTGGAAAATTCCACCTGTTCGGCAAGGGAGATGAGTCCATGTCTTTGTGCCTAGTCGTTGGCTTGTTATTTTGTGCTTGCCTTCTGAGATTTATGAGTCACTCATCCATCATTGTCCTAGTAGTACTTATCTCTTGCTTTTGTATGAGTCCCATGGGTTTTACTCTGTGTAGGACACATTTAAAACCAAACTATGCTTCGTCTTTTGTCAAAGGCAGGTGGCATTCTCAGTGACAGTGGGGAAACCCTTCCTCCAGGAGGAAGCTGTGCCGAGTGACTTGCTTTTCACAAGGCTGCTCATTCAGGAATCATACCCTGTAGATCCTTTCTGCTAGCACAACTGCCGCTTTCCCTCCAGGCAGATTCTCTTCCTGACTTAGCCCTGTGCTAGGCACCTGCCTCTACTCTCTGTTCTTAAGCAAGTCCATTTAGTAAGTGGAAACCTGTTATTGTTACTATCCTAGTCCAAAATCTTGTTACTACTTACATTTTGATAAATTTAAATTCCAAAGTCCCCTCTCATTAGAGTTCTTCATGCTTATTCAAAGTCAGTATCCATTACCCTTTTCCTGTTCTCTGCACACCTGGTTTACCAGAGTGTATGCACTGCATCTTGCTTAGAATCTTTTTACCAGTTCCTTTCTCCTAAATTCTAGGAGTCCCTTTGAAGCCCA